TCGTTGTATTGCTTTAATTTTTTTTTTTGATTATTTTCTGAAATCAGTTAGCGGTTATTGATTAGACATTTTTTAAATGATTGTTTTTATGTTACGTATGACTTTTATTGTAATGCTGAAATGTGTGTCGTTTCAGACCAAAGTACCAAACCAAAGTAGAATTTCATAAGCCGACCAATAGATAATAGGACCGAAACATTGTCCTTGGCTGGTGCATATCATATGCCCAGCAGGAAATAACAAACTGCGAAAGGCAGACTAGCGATTTTACTTACCCGAAGGCGTTTCATATCATAATATAACATTACCAGAAAATACAACGTTTTATTTACGGGCTAACTGATTAGAGAAAAAAAATAATGATATTAGTAGCATCAAGATTGTATAACCAGCCATATACAGTCGTGATCTTCAATTTGTTTACGGTATATATTCATGATCTGGTGAAACTTTCTTTTTTGCCTGTTTATATTTCCGGTGCTAATTTGGCGTTGTCATTTCATTGGCATTTATACAATGTCATGAAACTCAAACTTCGTATTCGGTCAGCCAGATTGACTAACTTCGATCTCCACTTAACTGTTTAAAAAAGAATACACTTAAATGGTCGGGGTAAGGTTTACGAAACCTCTGTAACGAGCAATAGTAGCCTAGAATAGGCCATTCTGCTATGAATGCAGTAACGGGTTGAAGGGGGGCGGGTGAGTCGATGCCGGAAGCGCAGTCAGAGTAAAAGTGACGAGACTCAAAGGCGATAACGTAGTGTCAAAGATGACAAGTTGCCGCAAGAGGACAACTATAAAGATGAAAACTAATGAAAGCTTGACGACCCACAGGCCAAAACTGTAACTAATTATGGCAAGCCACACACACATAATAAAATAATGACGACCTTTACCTTCCGTTGACAATTAGAAGAAAGAATGCAGGGTTTCACAACATGATCTTGTAGGCGGTCAACAAATTCGTTCATACAAAGGAAAATAGCACGAGTTCTTTAGCACCTGGTACCATTATTAATTTGGCTCAATCCGATTATTAACTAAAAGCGAAAGTGGGCGCTTGTTTTATTTCTCATCACCCTGAACATTTGCTGGAAATATCACACTAAGCTCATCTTTTACCTAGCAGCTGGTCGAAGCTTCGACCTTTCTCATGTGCTAAAATTGCAAGCATTGGGTATTAATAAGATTCATATTTTCTGGCGCCGAATAATTTGATTAAATATGAATAGTTTTACTAAAAACATAAGTAATTTCAATCAGTCCCTAAGCATGTTTTGTGTTTCGATTTGATCATAACAAAAACATCTTCATAAACATGTGCAAAAAAGGAAGCTAACAACTTACGTTGATCCGGTTCGAAGTTTAAGCTCTTGCTGCGTACATAACTGACCCCAACCGATAGCGTTGTGAACTTTGAAAGACGCATCCTGTGTATGCGCATTTATAACAAGTAACGAATGGAGCAGCAGATTCTTGGCAATCATCCTCTTGGTGGAAGCGTTCGACGCGCGCATTCTGAGATTTTGAAGCACTTTCAGACTAAAATACTAAGTAATAAAAAAAAGGAAAACAGTAGGGAGTACTTACATTTCTTTGAATACATTAGGTGGTTGGGCAAGTTTGATCAGCGGTTATTTATCCAAAAGTTTATCTGTCGCTTGAGCTAGTCATGGAGGCAAAGGCGATGTTGCGTGCTCCTGCTCTGACTGTGTACGCAATCAAGGTCTTGGTATTTCCTGTACATGCTATTATAGTGGGCGCTGTCTTAGGTCAAGACCTTTATCGCTGATGAAATATTTTTTCAACAGCTAAGTTAGATAAATACTATAAGCTACGATCTCCATTCAGACTAATAGATTTATCTAGTATTAAACGTATTAATCTATTGTCTAGTATATAGTATTAAAAATGAATAATAATCATGCCTATAAACTAACTGAAAGTCGTGACTGCTGTCCTTCGGCTCGTGGCGAGCCACAGCGAAACCTAAAGCCACGTTGGCTATTCAAGCAAAATTTCCTGTTTACGTCGTGCAATTGCAGTACCCCTACCAGAGTATTGCCTTCGATGATCAACCATTCTCTTTGTAGATACGTATCAGTCTTCTCCTGGTGAAGGCTGCGAGGGTAACGGGATTGGTGGCACGAGCACGTTTTTTTATAAGTGGCATGCATCAATCCGGGGCTATTGCGGTTAGCTATGACACAACGACGAGGAATTGGAATGAAATTCGTAAACTTGTTGAAGTGCGAAGTAGGACAACGAGATGACAAAATAAAGGAAGTACGCTGGTTTACGAACGATACGGAGGACATAAATGTTTATCTAAAATAATAGCCGAAACGTAAAGTTTTCGATTATTCCGACGCCTGCAAATATGAATATGACCTTACTAATAGCAAGCGAGCTATCTATACGTCCACGTTGCCCGGCCGATCTGTATGTGGAGACAAAGTGGCCCGCACGTCAAGCGCACATCCCACAATTCTCTTAGTAGTATACGATGATGAGATTTAAAGGCCAGGAGTTAAAGCTTTTTAGACCCAGGCCAGAACAACAAAATCCTTTTAACTGACATTACGTCAATGCAATCATTAATCCATTATGATGCACTATGCGATTGTATTATTAAACGTATCAGACAACAGTGTTGTTAAAACTCTATTCCCGTAAACTAAATGTATATATCTTTGAGACATGAGAGGAGCCAGAGGCAAATCTATAGAGCGCGACTCAGGAGGTACCCAAGCGCTGACTGGGGAATAAATGATCAATAGTCAGTCGTATTCAATTTCAAATAAAATGCTAACTATATAAGAAGGCTGCGTAATGCTTCGTTTGATTCAGCACAAAAAGCACATGAAAGAAACTAGTCCCAGTGGCACCGATGAGTGAACGGAGCACATCGGAGCCACCGATAACTATTCCCGTTACAATTGTTTACTGCAACTTAGACTTGTTTTTTTTTTTATTTTTATCTAGTATTAAACGGTGTCATTGCTTCAGTCAAGTGAAGATGGTGTAGATTAATATATATTTTGATTAGATGAAGCTTTATTTCTCCAAAAACAAGTGGGGGCTACTCGTCGAGTTTTCAAGTTTGAATAGCCTGCTTAGTGCAGGATGTGGTCCCTGGACTATTCTATAGTATTCCTATTTGCTAAACGCTCACTTTATCAGTAGTTTAGGATGGGGAAAAAAGGTTATTTTTTAATGGTTTGTGTTTGGACATGGATAGAGGCCAGCTCCGATACATCCAAGCGCCGATGTCTACGGTAACATTGTCTGAAATACGCATGCTATCAAAATATAGTGAAAACAAGTAAAAGCACCTACTGACATAGCTGGCTCGAAGATTTACTTGAGCTCCAAGAATATCTACAACCATTTTGTTCCCTCTAAGCCGAACGATTGCCATATATGAAATTCATGAAGGGGCTTCGAACTTATGTGTTTGCGATGCAATAACAAATTCAGCTTACCATGTTTTTGTTAATGAAGTTTAGTCGAATAACATTGCCCCCGATAGTAAACAGTAACTGGCTTAAATCCAAAGTATTTTATATTTATAGAGAATTTAGCAGATGATACAAAATCACAAAGTTTAAAAATTGGGCCACAGCTGTATTTTTGGCGTTATGTCCTGCATCTTTATCATTAAGACTTTACGGATTGTATATTTTGGTATTATGTAAAGTACCGCTTAGTTACACAATCATTTAGTTTAAATGAAGTTTGAAATTTTGACCGGCCCTGCAGCCAGGCAACTTAACTTACATGTACTCACCCGATAAGTTAGCTGTTGGCCCAATCCATTTAACGTATCCAACACATCTATCATTGACTAAATTGTTTTACACTAGATCGTTATATACAAAAGCTCGAAAAGATTAAAAATACTTTTTACTATTTATTCGGCGCACGTTCTACATAATCTGTAAAATTACTCTTTTCATAATTCACTATGCAATGACTGTGGACAAACATTCTTTTTTTTGTGACCTACAATAAATTTAAGTGAACATAAACGAAAAAAGTAAGTTTTTTTTGTACTTAATTTAACACCATCGATACAGCGACATGTAAATAAGAATACGTAAACAAACCCCTACGTTTTCAATCAATCCCATTGAAATACAAATATCAAAGGTTACGCGGTTGATTCTGAAAGAACATCTAACCTTCTGATGATTTGTATGACAGATGATCAGAATTGTTTCAGTCAGAGCATCGACGATTACGCCTGATTCTCAATTGGAAAACTTTAATGGATCCATACACACTAAAGCGAATTAGCCGCACGCAGGAGAGCTCTTCAATGACGTCTGTACGGCTACATCTGATCTGTAGTCACAAAAAACGTAAAGTTCGCTGAGTAATTATTATCACTACGATTCGTTTAACAACGCACATAAATATATATATATATATATATATATATAAATTAAGTCATTTTACCATTGAAGATAAGTTGGTGTAAAATCAAGCGGAACTTTATCACTTAGCGTGTTTTAACGAAATGCATAATTGTCCACCATTTTCAATGGGAAAAAGGCTAATTCTCTCTAGGAAATACAGTGAACATTTACGCTTTCTGTCAATGGTTCGCTATGTGTCCGTTGAAGTAATAATTTCATGTAAATTGCAACTCATGTAAAACGCTGCGCTATTACACATACATGTGTGCGTGTGTATTGGTGACTACTAACAAAAGCAGTGATACGAAACAGCAAAGTAAGCTGAACTTTTTCGTTCTATACTAGGTGAAGACAGTGAGTCGTTTCGGCGGATTGCTGCTATTGCCTGCCTTCCTGCCTAGACCTTGTTCGAAGAACTGCCGCGTGGCGACCCATTTGCTAGAGATTCGTTTTTGGGAAAGAGTTAATTTTTCCTTCCGCGATGTCACCCGTGGTGAACGCGTCGGCCTTCGATTGTTCCCAAACGCTGCCGTCCCTTGTCTAGTGTGACAACAACGGCCTGTATTGAGTCGGCTGAGTGTAGAAGCCTGTTCTCTGGTGTGAACTCAATACCTTTGCACTGACTGGACTACTATAATAAACTGCTGGCTAACAGAGAAGGTGTTATTCCTATAAACGCGAACCGATGATAATGAAGGTGCTGCCAAGGTCTTGCTGGTTGTTTATATTATGGATTCTCGCATTCAGCAGTACCGGAGAAAGCTCACAAGGTGTCGTGCGCGTGTACCCATTAATTGTGAAAGTGCATTTCGAGATCGACGAAATTCTGTTTCTGGACGACGATTCCCAACGAATGGGCCTCAGGATAACGCTCGCAACGCAATGGAAAGATCCCTATCGAACACATGTTCACACCTCCGACAAAAATGTACCTTCGAAAAACGAATTCGACCCGGAGCTGTTCATGGATGCACAAGACGAATCAGTCTTACTGCATCGGTCTACGCAGGTGACCAGCGAAGGCAAAAGACGACAGTCGCAGCGGCTGATATCGACTTTTACGTGCAGGATGCGTTTTAACTGGTTACCTGTTGATGTACAAATCTGTTCAATCACACTGCGTAGCGCCATCTACGATAAACATGTCATATTTCTTAGCTGGGAAGATGATCCCATCGTGCTGCCGGCTAATGGGAACAATGCAAACTTCACGCCGATCGCAGTAGAAAGCTCACTGGATGGTGATTGCTTAAAAAGTGCTGATGCCACCGACTTTTCCTGTTTGCGCGTCAAAATTGTCTTTCAACGAAACTATCACAGATACCTCATCGCCTACATTATTCCTACAGGTCTTCTTGCTCTTGTCGCCTGGCTCACGCTGTTTATCCGATGCTCATCCATTCGGGCTCTTATAATTGTTGTCTGCATGTTCACTATCACCACCTTAATGTACGAGAAACTAAGTTCGTATAAGCGTTAAACGTTAACCTTAGATTAGATACCACTGATTTGTATATGTCAGATTCGAAAAATCTTCAAGCCTCTCACGAAAGAATTGGCGCTGAAAAATATTAGATCTGTGCCAAATGGAGAGTAATTCATCTACACCGTAGGACTTTCGGAGAACATATTTTAGTGAAAGGCATTGTCGAGATTATGCAAAGTTCCGACCCGATAATGTTAATGGACATTAAGAAGCTAAGGCAAAAATTATAAACCATTTATCCATCAATTACAGGTACGCAACCTATATGAATCTTGCATGTCCATGGTGCCTGAAACTACTTGACGCGTGGACTCTGACCTGCGGAGGTATTGTATTCTTTTGTCTTCTTGAGTTTCTAGTTGTACAGCTTACGTTCAAGCGTCAAGTATCAGGGCGGAAGAAATATACAATCAACGACATTAAACCCAATTGCGTCGACGCAGTGTTTAGAGTGGCTATCGGAGTCCTGCTAAGCTTTATGACCATGTTTTTCTTGGTCTTCATCTACGTAACCGCTCACGAAAGGAACGGTCGCCTTTAAGTTGATCACAGACTTCTCAGAACATTCTGGATTATTACATGTTACGACCTAACAGGCGGGATTTAAATAAGCCTTTTTGTAATTATATGCTACGATAAGCGATGCTACATAATTAATGTCTTAGATTCGTACGATCTCGATGTTTGTAAGAAGGCTATGTGACTCAAGCTTTGGTTTTTTTGCGTGGCATAAACAATTTTCGATCACAACTATGGAAAGACCCATGCAGAATTTCACCATGGATTTTATGTAGCGCAGGGCAGACAAAATTCAATGTAAGAGCGCGCCAGTTGTGCTTATTTCTTGCTGGTTACTTTTTAGTTAGAAAACTTATAACTTCTTGCAGTCTCCTGCAACACAAGTTGGATTGGAAAAAGTTTGGCATTTGTTCGTCTACCGGCAACTCCTTCCTATGTTCTCAGAACACAGTGTACTGTGAGCTAATTCGACGCTCATTAGGAGTATAGCAGGACGACTCTGTGTCGTCTGTCCTTTTTGACATGGTCGAAAACGGCTTTTTGCGTTCACTGGCAAGCGGAGGGTAAAGATGTTGATGTATGCAAGTAATTTCTCTACAGCTCGGCAATGTTAGCGAGCTCTTGGTTCGCTTTGCACGCAATGTCAAGATTGTAGAACGTCAACAAATGCCAGGAAAACCCCAAGTGAGCAAGTTTAGAGCAACTGTACAACACCAACAGATTAAACAGTAATACAATTATGTAAAGGACACCAGGTACACTTTGTACCCACAATGGAGACTAGGAATAAATCGAAGGTGTTAAGCTTCTTAAGACGAAGGTAAGTTTAGGAACATCGGAAGCTCCAGAGAATATATCCACAACGAAACAATATTATGTTAGTAATTCAAGAATATTGTTGAAGTGTGATCTCAACGCTGCCATAGGGAGAGAAATCTTGCCTTTGTTTGGAAAAAATTATCACATATTTTTTATTATTACAAAAAAATTAGTCAAAAAAAGAGAGCCAACGTAATGGCAGTGCAGCTCGTAGAAAAACATGACAGAGATTGTGTCACGGTGTAACCTATCTGCAAGAAAAATCTTGCTATAAGTATGAAAAGGGATCGATGTGTAGACTATACTTAGAACAAATTACTGATGGGTTTCAGTATAATAACATGTAGTGCATTTTAAGGGGGGAGCATTAGTGCCGTATTTAAGGTTGTCAGCTCTGTTTAATCTGAAATTTCCATTATATTGTGATAGTAGAAAAATTTTCGTAAGCAAAGGCATCTGATGCAAAAGATGTGATCGTCTACAATAAACCTGCCTGCTTTGGCTTATTCCGAAATGTCACGATTGTCTTATATATTATGTTGAAAGATAGTGAGCAGATCCGGAACTATCGGAAAGGAAGCTCGATTTTAGTTGACCATACCTCCAACAAAAACTCGCAAAGAACATTTTTCTCAAACTATTTTATGCCAGCAATACAACTGTGTCATGCCCATGGCTTTTCAACATTGTCATAAGCCCTTGGACCTAAGTAATAGTCTACTCGTTAGAGCCTTAAGAGAAAAGTAGCGCAGACGCGGCCTTACAGATGATAACAACACAAAGGTCGATTCAATATCAGGAAACCGCTATCGAGATATGAAGTCGCATATCATGTTGTGCTGTTGCACAGACATTAGTAAACAAAAAGATAACTTCCTCAAGTCCACAAACCCTTGGGGCATTTTGCTGTTGCGACGATACTTATTATTAAAACGAATCCACCAACGACTCTCAGGAAAAGGCAACGCTTCTATGGCAGATGCTGGAGCCAGTGATATCGCGCGGTGAGCAAGAAATGCCTACATTAACTAAAGATATATACGCGTTTTTAAACAGCCTAGACTATTGCAGTAGTAGGCCAAGCAAAAAAGCGTAAGAAGAAACAAAGGATACGTTTTGCCAAAGGAAACTTTTACTTTTCCCATTAAACTCAAATCGAATATATTATCAAGGGAATCTTAATAACATTTAAGGAGAGGATCCCTAGCACCTTACAATTGGCATGTATAGAACGTGTATACGGAATACTTTTGGCTGTTCACAACTGGCTGATGTTACGGTAATCTAAACAGGCACCGCTGGATGAATTTGTGGCACGAAACGCTGCCTTAGCGACTGCAGGTGCTGCCATAATGTTAACGAACATATTTGACTGTATTAAATATTATGAAAGATACAAGAGTCGAAAATCAAACAATCGATTTAGATTTCAAAGACATTATAATGAAGCTAAAAATCGTTTACACAAATCATAATATATGAAAACTAGCACTGGAGGCAGGACAAAAGGGATTTTCATTCCCGAGTTTCGTCGAGACAATAAAGAAGCTACTTTATCCTTCTTGGACAGGACCCGCCGTGACTATAAACGCGAACCGAAATTGGCAAATAAGTCTCCTTTTTAGTGATCTAGAACAAGGACAATAAGAGAAACTAGTCAACTTAGAAGCGGATATTCAACTTGAATATTGACAAATCTTGTGACTATAAAGTACTTTAAAGCTGCTCTAATCGATTGGGATACCTTCGTGCGGATGCAGAGAACACAGGATTCTACCACCTGCTCGGTGAATGCTAGCAGTTGATCTTGTTCAGGTCAATAGGAAGGCAATTATGTTTTTGACAGGCGCAATCAGCGTCGTATGGAACAGTACAGTTATTATAAGGCCGTAATCAGTGGCCGTTTTTAATACTATACTAATTTCTGACCGCTAGATCAACAACTTTTTATCTAATAACATACGGTTAACGTACTTGGAAGACAACCATCTGAACGTTGAAAAAATCTGCGCACACATGGAGTATACAATGCCAATTGTGTTTGTTTTCGACGCTACATTTGGAATTTTAACTGTAACATATTATGCTACGATAAACTTGTTTTTCTCAGAAAATATTTCAGAGTATATCATAACTTAACGATATTGTTGATCCGCTTACATAAGCATCTAAGACGTTTAAAATATGAACCAGTATCCATGTACATTGGAGAGCTAGTACGTAAGAGCCGTATAAAATGTCGAAATCCGAGATGGTTATAGATGATTCTGAAACTGGAAGCAGGACAGATAGGTGGCTTTGAGCGCCTGATTTTAAAGGTGTTTCGAGCCGAAAGTTATAGAACGAACCTATACTAAATGCGTAAGTTGTCTTTGCGCAGCAGTATCTGTTCGGAAATGTTTCACATGTGTGTGAAGGTGGCAGGATTAAAACATTGGAAGTTGGTCAGAAGTTACCAGAGCTATTTACGCAAACACGACAATACTATCATAATTAACTTTATCATTTTTTAATTACTAGAGTATACTAGATGGTCATTACACACATGAAAATAGATAATCACATAATGGTAGGTGCATTGTTTTGACGGGGATTAACAACACAGAGGTGAGACAACAAAATACATCATATGTACGATATGTAGCAGCGGTTAACTAATAACTATAGTATTATCTGAAAAATCTAGTTTTTCCTCTAGAGTATCGACTTGTACATCGTGCTTCGTCAGCTAAATATAGTAAGAACGACTTTGATCTCGTTTGTCCAGTTTAGCTGAAAGCATAACGATTGTCGATTTAAAAAGGTGTCACAGGCCTTACGCAATGACAAAGAGTATGAAAGATAGCAACGCTTTCATGCTTCATCAATTAATAGAATTAATTTTATTTAATGATTGATTGAATCTTCTTCTTGATTGATTGAGAGGAAGGCAATATAGGGCTAAATGTGAGTTGCCGTCGTGAAGAGCACGGCGAAATTAAGTTGTTTTGTTTACTTGGCACAACCGACAAGATCGTTACAAAAAGCTGAGTCACGCTGATCTTTCTACTGTTATATATCAAGGGTATTGCTTTTAGGTAAAGTTTCATACTATTCTCAACTCGGAACACAGCAAACGGCTGGCTGACATTTAACCTGCTAAGTTTTTAAAGGTTAATTGATCGGGAAAAAACTGCTAAAACCCTTAAAATAGATTTAGGATCAAAAACGGCCTCTTTAAGAGACTCAGATTATTCCAGAACCTTGGATATCCGGCAGAGCCCAGTGTCTCGTGCGTTGCTACTAAGAAATCATAGTCACTAGATAGAGCAAAAAAATCGCGGCTGGTACAGAAGAGAATTCGTAGATCATTCAGTATCAATATAAACTCTACTGAAGATCTTTTTACGCGAAAGCGTAATACAAGATACATGCTATTTAGTGGCGTAAATCATTGTAGACCTATGATGGGACTGCGCTCAAAAAGTTCAAAGCTGAACAATACGGTATCTATTGTCGGCAGTTTCCAAGATCAATGTCAATTTTACACGTAACAGTTGCCACTAGATTGTCTTGCTTCCTTGTTTAGTCAGCTTTGCCGTATTTTATATGTCATTGAAGAGCCTTGGACCGGCAACCTTCAGCTTTATGTTTAACCAGCGGCTAAACGTCATAATGTAGTAAATAAACAAAATCATTTAGCATTGCTTCATACCGTTGGCTTCCAGCTTGAAAGGAAGTGTGCCGATCCTCGGAATCGAATCTAGATCAATACTTTTCCTTAATTTTAGCAGGTAAAAACGTTACCCACTACACTGTCACAGACATATTACATGGTAGATACTAAACCTCTTGCTACTAGTTTTTATAGCCGTTTTCTTCGAGATAAAAAAGGAAATTCTGACTGGATGTTTTGGTTTGGGCAAAGTCTTGCCCATGAATAGGGTCTATGGATTAATACTAGATTGTGCAATAGGTAATGAAAATATCTTAAACTGGCACTAACTTGCCAATGTTTTATACTTAATATACTGTTCTCGTTACTCGTATAAGATATTTGCTCTTTAAAAATAAAATTTTTGCAAAATTCTTCTATATTTTTTTAGACACGCAATATTTCTATCTGTGGGAGTTTTAAATGCGAGAGGTAAAAAGGTAAAACTCAACTCCTGTGCTCCATCTTATGAGCGATGCTTCTCTTGCAATCGCTTCCGTAATAGACTTTTATTTACCTAAGAAGTGCAATTTATTTGACATACTCCTCTAATAATACTGAAAAAATATATGTTGTTTATTATTATAGCTTAATGATTGGACTGGGGCAAACATATGGCACGTTGCGAAATTCGAGACAGCAATGTGTGGCTTCATACTTATTGTTAGAAAGGAAACTGCATTTTTCTAATAAGAAAGCGGTATTTATAACCGTTTTGACGTTGCTTGAAAGGAAAATCTCTATTATTTACGATGTTACGTCCCTTCTTGTCCTTGGTGAATCAATAGCCCCCATCTTTATAACGTGAGAATAAGCAGCGTTGTTCACACAAAGATACGAGGAAACTCTGTCAACTCTGAACCTAAGCGGTGGCGTCGTGCAGTTACTGATGAGCCGTTACGACCCGTTCTTCGGGCAACCGAACAGACTTGGCCAGCATGCGGTAACAATCCTGTACTAAACCACACACAGTCGCCATAAATTACCAAAAAACGAACAGATAGACTATAGGTGGCGAGATCTAAGACATGTTGTTCAACCGCGTTATCGTCTACGTTATTGCTGAGGTAGTAGCGAGATAGTATTAGAGAAGTTCGTTGACGGTCGGTTCGTCTGAGCTGGGAAAAGAGCGATAGCAAGAGACAACGTAAAAAACCCACCAAGGGGTGCAGGCGCGAATATAGGAGAAAGGGGTTGTACACCGATAATGACGGCCAAGACCTAAGACTGAGACGGTTAAAGTGTTTGCGATAAAAAAGAAGAGATGCCTTCGAAAAAAAAATATTGTCAATGCTGGACGGACACGTGCAAAGAATGGCTGGCTATAAAACGGAGCGTGCACTCCATGCTTCTCGTAGAAGTATTATAAGAACCTTAAAAATGGATGCCGAGGCACTTGTGGTTAAGGTTTGGTCAAAAGCAACGTTTATCATCGAACCCTCGTTTAGTGCATAACTCCCTCCAGTTCCCTTTGTCAAGACAGAAGATCAAACGATGCGATTTATTTTAACCACTGTATAATAAATGATATTATGAAAAAGGATTTTTATCCATTGCTCCCTACCTGTGACTCTTGCCAGTGCACAATATTTCAGTAGCCTGAATATAACCAGTGGATACTGGCAAATTAGCATGCATCGAGACAAGCGTACCGCGAGAAGGTCCGGATAATGAAATTCCTATCTACTCCAGCGATGGCCAAACGTTTAGAAAGTTTTTTGGGCCCTTTTGCCGGTGGTTTATATGAGACTTTGCACGAATCCTAAGTGTGCTCAACAGA